CAGTCAGTAAACTGTCTCCACCGTACTTTAATACCTTTGGAGTCATTCCATCAGGTCCCGCTGCTTTGCTTTGCTTCAGATTAGTGACAGCTTTAGTAACCTCAGTTAAGGACGGAGAAACCTGTGTCTATATCCCATTCAGGGAGGTGTTGGATGTTCGGCAGGTTAAGTGTGACTGTGGGCCAATTAAACTGTTCCTCATAGTGTTTTTTCAGCGCTCCAGTCGTCTATCCTGGGAGCTAATTATGGTGCCATTTTTCTCCGAGATTGTTTCGCTTGTCATTTACCACCTGTTTCCCTGATAAGCCTGAATAGTTGTCTGGTGTTGCCAATCGCCGATGCCTTTTCCATCTCTTTCGCTTTTGTCGCCCACCACTGTTCACGGTCGTTGTGAAGACTTCTTGTTAGTTTTCGTTTAAGTACCTTTCGCTCCTCATCATAATCGGAGCTCGCAGGAATCAGTCTTCTTGCGTCAATCAGTTCGGATGAGGTGGAAGAGATCCAATGGCTTTTATTAACTTTAGGTTTTAGCTTATTGACAGCTTTCACGGCTGTGTCCATAGCTAACTGTATGTTGTGCCAGGCTACCTCAGGGGAAGTCCTGCTGTCGACCTCAGTAACTCGTTTCGCTATTTCTTCCTTAAATAAGGACTCAGTGTCTCGATCTAGTTGGGGACGTAACTGTTTCGCTGCCATCAATTTCTTATGTCCATTAAGTGGTAAGCAAAAACGTGCGCGAATCAGAGCGTGATCAGAGTCTACCAATGTGTTCCAGAAGGAGTGGCAGTCTTCTACTGACCCTCGCCAACGATACCCTCTGTGGCTATGTGGTCTATCTGAGTTCAGCGTTGATTTGGTGACGGAGGTCGCCAGGTTACACAATGTCTCTCTTTGTGCCTAAAGTTAGTGCTGACTAGGAACAGATGATTATCTGAGCAAAACTGAAGAAGACGATCACCGCTGTCGGTTCGTCGGCAGGGAACTCCATACGTATCACCTACATACTTCTCAGTCTGGCACAACTTCCTTACTTGGGTGATCATTGAAGTCGCCTACTAAAACAACTATGTCTGAACGTTTTACATTTTGCAGCAAATTAGACAGTTTCCTGTAGAAGTCATCTTTTAATTCATCCGAACTGCAGTCTGTTGTTGGGGCGCAAGTGAAGACTACGAAAAGGCAACGATGGGTAGTGCCGTCTTTCCTTCTTTTCACGGACCCGTTCAGATGGACCGCGCACATACGACTATCTACTGGGATCCAAAGTTGTTGCCACATTGACTTTGTCTGATCTGTTTTTGCTGCTTGTACTTGTATACTTACGAAAGGGTTATTTTCACATGACAACTTTTTTTTTAATCTTTCTCTTTTTTGTCCGTTTTCACTTCGTACACTAGGTTAGTGCTCAAATAAAGAATGATAATGAGTATTGTGGTAATTGTATTATCCAGGCTCACCTGAATGATTCTGACTTTCCGTATGAGATTTTCTGCCGTACTACAAATGAAGTTTATCGGTGAGATTATTTTGTTTGCCTTCCCCATTGATAGATAAATATCTTTCATGTTACCATTATTTACTTACTTTACTTTACCTCGGCTATCTCCTACGGGAGGATGAGCCGGCTTCATGAACATCTCGAATCATCGCTGCCCAAGCGCGGCGATCTGATGCAAGGTTTTGCGACAGGGTTATCCAATTCTTGTTCCACAGACGGAGTCCGTAGACGGTTTGTAGCCCCAGGCACTCCATATCAGCCTTGACTGTACCAAGCCATGTTTTCAGCTGTCCACCCCATCGCGACATCGCCAAGATGGTAATGGCGAGGGATTTAGAACTGATTTGACCAGATCGTCGTCTGGTCGGTGCAGAACATGGCCAAACCACCGAAGGCGACGTTGTTGGACCAGTACTGGAATTTGGTTGATGTTGTAGCAACGACGACGCACTTCTTCGTTTGTAAGAGAGTTCATGAAGTTTCATGGGAATTTGGTACGAGTGATGTCCCCAGAATCTCTCGGCCTTTTGTTTGAGAGTGCAGCTCTAGCCTTTACACAACCAAGTGTGACCTACAAGGCAGTAGGAGTGGAGTAGGGAGTCCACTATCCATTGGCAGCCGGTGACCGGAGTTCGGTTCATACGCCTTTTTGAATGGGGCCAGACATCCAGGACATCCAACAAGCCCTTTGTCCATAGGTCTGCCGGTGAGCTCCAGTGAGCTTCATACGCCAGTCGTTGGAGGTTTGGAATCAGGGTTTAGCCATCTCCCCTAAACTGTCATGTGATGGACAGCCAACCGGGTGAAGAGCGCCGGGCATCCGCTTTCGCCCTCTCACTTTGGTGAAAAACACCTCCGCCACGTGAAGGCAGTGAGTAGGACTTCCTCAGGAGAGGCTATGTAAGACGCTCGGTCATATGGGAGCATTTCAAGAGGTGTTCGGAGGGGTGGCCAACCCGCAGCGCAAGGCACCCACCCTCGACCATCCTGAGGCTTTGGAGACTTACCATTATTTGACTCCAATAGTGTAATATATAATCATTACTTTACCTTGGATCGGATAAAGTACTGCCACTGGTTCGGTGTGTGTTAGAGTTTGTGTGTGGGTGTGGGTGGGTGTATAGACACTTTTGTTTTGGTGCAATTGTGTGTTGTGTCTGAGTTCCTAGGTGGGGTGCAAATTGTGAAGATTTCATTGACTGACTTTTGTAGACATCAATGCACTACTGATTGATTAACATGTGCGTGATATTTTGCGATATTTTTTTCCTTCACGTTCCCCAGTGGAACATAGGGCTTCAAGCTAGTGGCTTGAAAATTCTGTAGCAGTGTTTATTTTACAAGATGGGGTTGCTAGCCACCTCATGCCCAACCTTTCCTCTTCACCAGCATTATTTCTGGCTTAGCGAGGTAAAGCAGTGCGTTGGTGTGGCCGGGGATCGAACCCCGGACCATGTGCATGATCGGCGAGCGTCCTAACCGCTATGCCACCGACGCACGATATTTTACAATGTCATGATATTATTGCATGTGATTGGGCGGGCATACTCGACCAATGAGTGTACAGGTGAAATAAATAAAATATTCTGCTGCCGTGAAGATTCTCTTGCTCCTGTCAAATTGTTAATTTTCACTTCGAACTGTCGACTGACTGACTGACTGACCGACTGGTTTGAACGTAGAACTCCTTTGCACAGATGTGCAGTCGTTCGAGTTGCCACACTCCATGTATCACACACAAAGCAAGACAAGAGATTAAGGAGAGATAATAAACAGAGGTGTGTTAGGGAAGAAGAATGGTAGGTAATATGAAAGAACAGTAGATTTTTATAGGATATTATGAATCACAAGGAGTAAATGCATCTGTGCCATTGGGAACGATTTTAAGCCATGCTAGCGATTGTCTCCAGCCATTGGTTTTTACTATCTCGAGGACTCCAACCGGGAAGTATACACCTTCCTACGTGACTGACTGGCTTAAACTAACTGTTGTGGATTTCATTGACTGGTGATGAAGCCATGTTTTGGTTATACCACCACTACTAAGAGGTTTTCGAACCTGGCCGATCCTGTTTCAGTCAGCTAACATTTTTGGTCATGGAAGGCGATGGCTAGGGATGCATGCGCGCCACACATGTCCTAACCACATCAATTGATGTAACTTCGCGACGTCGTCGATTGATTTCCCCTCCTTACTTAATAATCGATGGCTAACCTCAATATTGCTCACCTTGTTCTCTATGTTCACCTGAACATAGAGAAAACAGAGGCGATGAAGATTCCTGGGAAACAACACCACTAACAACAACAACAGACAACAATCAGCCAGCATAAATGGGAGGAACCTGAAAGAAACAACCTCCTTTACCTACCCACCACCTACCTGGGAAGCATCGTTTCAACTACAGGCGAATGGAACTGACGAGTATATCAAAGCAAGAATCGGGAAAGCAAGACAAGCCTTCATTACTCTCAAGTCTGTGTGGAGGTCAACAGCACTCAGCATGAAAATGAAAATAAGATCCGGATTTTCAACTCCAATGTGAAGTCAGTCAGTGCTGCCCACTATACGGATCAGAAACTTGGCCAGCGCGTCATAAAGAGCATCTCAAACAAACTACACACCTCCATCAACAGCTAGTTGTCTTCGCTCAGTACCATTCAAGATCAGATGGCCGGCCGGCCAGAAAACATCAGCAACAGGGAGGGATCTCTGGCAATGAACGAACCAATACAGCAGGAACCGATTGTACAACAAATAAGCAGGAAGAAATGGAGGTGGCCATACTCTGATGAAACCGTCAAGTGACATCACACGACAGGCTATCGAGTGGAACCCGGAAGGGAAGTGGCGAGTTGGTCGTCAGTGTGAGGGTGATGTGAAGAGGAGATGAAAGCTTGTGGGCAGACTTGGAGCCAGGTGAAAACGTTGGCAGAGAACCGAATGCAATGGAGACGTGCATCTGAAGCCCTATGTTCCTCTAGGAATTGAAGAAAATAATAATGATGTTATGCCCCTTAAAATGGGAGATAGAAAGCAGACACCTAGACAGCCTCTTCATATCTTCCACCTTCAATGGTCATGTCTCATAGCCCCCCAGCCATAAAGAAGGGTGGAGCGAAGTGTTAGTTTGTAGAGATTTGATTGGTGTCAATTTGGATGACGGATTGAGATCGATCAGTTGGTTGAAAAAATAGTGAATGAACAGAAGAAGTTAGAATTCATGGACCATTGGATTCCTTGCCTAGTCAGTGACCGAATGGTCTGACCAACGAGCTGGCCTCGTAGTCTGAAGGTTGTGCATGCAGTCAGTCCTCGGTCGGTTTGTGGATGCCTACTGCTGAAGAATTGTCGTCCCCCTAGACACAGAACTGTCCTGAATGACATTATGAATTAGAATATGAATGTATATTTCTCTCTTGTTTTCCTCACTTTGTTTTTATCATCATACAATTTTGGCATGATTTTTAGCCGATGATGTAATCGTGAATTATAATTCTGATGTGTATATTATCATTAAACATTTTCACTAGCTTACGAAGACGTCAAGTGTCCATCAATGAGACGGAGGTGAAAAACTTGAGATTTCGAAAGCTTCTACCCAGCAATCCTGTTGATCGACCGGTTTCGCCGCCGCTTTGCGATTCTAAAGTTTGTGATGTGAATAATTCTGTGGTGAAGAAGTGTGCAAGTCCAGACGTGAGTGATATATGGATATTCCTCGTATTCTTGAGCATATTTTATGTGGAAGTTCTATTTCTCCTATCGTTTAATTGGTTTATTCCACATCAGATTTCATACTCTGATTGGGAAATGGTTTTATCTCCTTCGGGAAGATGTCACATCTTAGTGACTTAAGCACTCGACTTCTAGCCACTAGATGCAGGTTTCAAAGTCCCTTCCCATGTGTAGATCGGGCTGGTCAACTGAACAGTATCATCAGGGTATTTGTTGGCCCATAGTTTTTTGTACAGGGAGAATGTGTTCCGGGTAACTAACAGCAAAGGGGCAGCTATCTCTCCTGCATAATAAATTGTGTGTGTCTGTGGCCTTTGTTCTGTGTAGATTAGGGTTTCAGCTGATTGAGGAGGAATGGAGTTGATGTCTTACTGAACAGGTACTTGCATATCGATGCAGTCAGTCAGTCGTCAATGTCCCCAATGTATTGTAAGAGGAGGACTTGTGATACTGACTGCCTGACTGCCCGAATGAATGTCTGTAGATGGAAAGTATCCCGAACCTGTTATCATCCAGCCAATGGCTTTCATTCCGAGTGCGTAGAACGGACCGATAAGCCGGAGAATGACTACATACACTCACTCTGAAGCAAATGTCTCGAAGAGTTCCGCTATCCATTTTTGGTGGTAACATAAAGTAGATGTGTATCTGGCATGAGGAAATTGGAACTCATGTTATTATTATGATTATTGCTGTTCTCTGGGGATTGAAAGTGGAACGCAGGGTGTCAGCAACATATCCTAACTTTGTTCTATTTTCTGCTGGAATCTTTAGCTGGTGGACGATCGCGCCATGATATGTGTGTGATCTCTTCCATTTCACCCTCAAAGTGACAACCCACTCGTCGCTTCTCATTGGGATTCCACTCGATCGATGTCTGTCAACGGTCTCCTCAGCGTGTGCCCAGTCTATGGTTCTTGTCTAGTTTGTTCCCGAAGTTTCTTGTAGCTAACTAACTCTTTTTGGATCCAGCGAAGACAGCTGTTGAGAGAAATTTGCAGCTGGCTGTTGGAAGTGCTTTTCGTGACGCACGCGCAGTGCAAATTTCTCACTCATACAGAGAGAGAAAAAGTGACTGACTAACTTGACATTTGTGTTGAACAGAATTGGAATCTTGTTGTTGTTATGCTCAGTGCAGAAGATTTCGATTGAGAAGAATAAGTCCAGATAAAGCAGTAAGAAGACGTAATTTGGCTGAATCGTGTGTGTAATGTGCATATTTGCGCAACACATTTCGAACAATCTGATCACACACAGACTTGTCATAGGAATAGACATTTGTGGAAATAATAAAGAGTTAAGAGGTGGGTGAGAAAATAGACTACTTAGGTCAAGTTAAAAGGAGGACATATTGAATATCAAAATAAGAATGAAGATGAATGGCTAAACCAAATAGCAGAGGTAATAGTACATCTGCTATGGTATCAAAACAAAGTTTACCAAGGAAGGTTTAATGTGATGACGAATTGCTGCTTTGAACGCATAAAGGTGGTTTAAACTTTCTAACTGCCAGCTGGGGCTTCCACAAACTTTAGGATACGCCGTCACCCAAACACGCGTTTATAGATAGGTTTAAAAGATGTGTTAACGTCAATTTTATGTCCTGTCTCCTGTGTAATATGTTTCGCAATAGAGGAGCTAGGTCTTCATCTGTTCTCACCATTAATGGGTTCTGAAGATTCCATTTGTTTCTGGAGCCATTTAGGAATATGCTGTGAAGCCACAGCCTTACTTGGAGAGATCGAGGAGTCCTCCCTATGTATGTGTGTGTGTGGCCACACGTACATTCAAATTGGTGACTACTGTGAGAGGATGTGACATCATTTTTATCATGTTCAAAGGGCTTAGATGGATGGATATATATTGGCTACACATTCTCAATTATTATGATATTAGCTGCATAAAAAGTCTTTTAAACTACAACGGCGTTCAGTCTTTGTCTATTTATCTTTTTTTTTACTTCGCCTATCTCCTACGAGAGGATGAGCCGGCTTCATGAACATCTCGAATCATCGCTGCCCAGGCGCGGCGATCTGATGAAGTTTCATGGGAATTTGGTACCAGTGATGTCCCCAAAATCTCTTGGCCTTTTTTTTGAGAGTGCAGCTCTAGCCTTTACGCAACCAAGTGTGACCTACAAGACAGTAGGAGTGGAGTATAAGGAGCCCACTATCCATTGGCAGCCGGTGACCGGAGTTCGGTTCATACGCCTTTTTGAATGGGGCCAGACATCCAGGACATCCAACAAGCCCTTTGTCCATAGGTCTGCCGGTGAGCTCCAGTGAGCTTCATACGCCAGTCGTTGGAGGTTTGGAATCAGAGTTTAGCCATCTCCCCTAGACTGTCATCCAATGGACAGTCAACCCGGTGAAGAGCGCCGGGCATCCGCTAGTTATCAAGCTGCTATGATGCCTCGCCCATATAGGGTAGCTTGATGTACACGTGTTTCTTAGAGGCGAGTTGTAGAGTGGGTCTTGGTGGTAAATTAGGCGAGGATGGAACGTATGTCATGAATGTGTATTAATGATGGTGATGTGATGGAGAAGGTTACGTCGGGTCACTCTTTAATAATATATGATGATTATGTGGAGATGTGAATGGTGTAAATATGGGAATACCTTAATCATGTTTTTCGAACGAATAGCCTATCCTTTAGAGAGCACACTCAATGGCCATTTCCTTCTTTATAATAATGACAATAATAATCACAATCACACACAGGTGGTGTTTCAATGTGGTAAACATAATTGAGATGTGAGAATTTTTCCCGAATGGGACTGACTGGAAAGTAAGAGACCTATTCACAAGATACTTAATTCATTATTCAGTAGTGTATTGCGTTAAATGTAAATTACACTAGGATTCCTACGTAGAGAGAGAGAGAGACATGAAGTGGTGTTAGGAGGTTAATTTGTGTGTTCAGTAGATAGATTCAGTCTTTCTGGCTTTTCTAAAGATCTCTCTACCAATCCTTGTGCTTCAAGCAATTTCTTCCACACGAAAAGAGGAATTTCTCTGTAGTCCGTAAAAGGAACACTTCGAAGAGGGGGGTTGTCTTCATTTAATGGATTCGCTTTCCGATTGAGTGTGTGTGTGTCTATAGGAAGAGGGCGTGATCGGAGTCTACTCACGTGTTGTTCCAGAAGGAGTGGCAGTCTTCTGCCGGCCCTATCCAACGATACTTTATCACTATGTGGTGTATTTGAGTCCAGTGTTGATTTGGTGATGGAGGTCTCCAGGTTAGACAATGTGTCTGTCTTTTTGTCTGCAATTAGTGATGACTAGGAACAGATGATTATGTGAAGAGAAGTGTAGTAAAAACAATCACCGCCGTTGTCGGTTCGTCGGTAGTGAACTCTGTATGTGGTGGTCATTGAAGTCGCCTGCTAAAACAACTATATCTGAACGTCGTTTTGCTTTTCGCAGGAAATTGGACAGTTTCTCATCGAAGTCATCCTTTAGTTCATCCGAGGAATGTTAGCTGACTGACGTAGAGTTGGAGTTGGAGTTGGAGAGGAGTTAATCAGACCAGACGAAAACGTGGAATCAAGCAATGAAGTCCTTGAGAGTTGTTTTGAGCCACATATGGGGGTAGGTGTAGGCTGGCTGGTTGGTTGGTTGGGGTGTTGGGAATGCTAGGAAGCAGTGGTCGGAAATCATGCTGATTGGCACAGATGCGCAGGCATTCTTAGTAATGTGATGTTCCGACGCACCGATTAACCCCCCCCCCAGTTACTCCATGTTCCCCCCTTGTCTTCCTCCCGTACATTTCTGCTTTTGAGAGTCTTTTCTCTGTCTAGGTTAGCTTGTCTATCAATCTTTGTGTACTACGTGGAGTTTGTCAACTTTAACCGCCGCTCCATTTCTGTGCAAAGTTGATGACAGAACACGCGACACGATTGGTAGACGCCGTAGCAATCCCAGACCAACGCGCAAAGGCCGTGACAGATGCAGTAGTTAGACACATCGTTGCAGACCATGGCGTACCAAAGACAATACTGACAGACCAAGGTCCCTGTTTCGAAAGTGAAGAATTTGCTTCTCGTTTGCAACAGCCGGTCATCAAGAGGATCCGAATGACCCCATACCATCCACAAACGAATGGCCTGATGGAGAGAAACAACCGTACACTGAAGGAGTGGCTGGCCTCGAAGGGCGGTAACTGGGAAACGGAGCTGTCACTGATTCTACTAACACATCGTTCCACCACCCAGGAAACAACGAAAAAGTCACCCTTTCAACTGATGTATGGTAGAAAACCACGATTACCGATACACAACGAAACCTGCCCCTTCACCAAAAGTGGAGTACGACGAAATTAAAAGCAGAACGGAAAGAGGCCGTCAAGAATGTAATGCAGAAGCAGCGGAGGGATGTCACGAAGTCTCAGCTGAGAGGAAGGACTCAGTACATTACATTTGCAGTCGGGGACCAAGTGAAGTGTAGAAACAGAAGATATGCTGTTCGATGCGGGCCAGGTTCACGAAAACTCCTTCCAAAGTGGGAAGGACCACACACAGTCGCAAAAATACGGGGTCAAGTATATACCATCAGAAGAGGTGACAAACAAAAACGAGTTAACGCCAGTCAGATCCAACGATGGGTGCTTTGGGACAAGCCGATCTGTAACAATCATCAACTAGAGGATGCATCACCCAGAAGGTTGGAACGCCTGCGCGCGAAGCTATTTGACGGGGGGACGAGTGTGGTGAGAGATGGTTGCTAGCCAAATTGCTAGACAGCAATTGACGTCAATGTTTATGTCTCAAATATTAGTCATGTGAAAACAAGGTCAAAGATGGACAGCAGACTTTGCGTAGGCGGATACAGTTAGCAGATAGATGATCTGACACAGCCACAAAGAGAAGCAAGGTTAACTGTCTGTGAGAAACAACCAATCAAAAGACTGTATTTTCCACTAACAATGATGTACATTAAAATCTATAAATATGTGTTGATTTTCCTTGAATAAACGATCTGTTTCCCGGACTCTTGCCTTCTGTCGTTACACTATGTCTTCCTCCCGTGCATATCTGCTTTTGAGAGCCTTTTCTCTGTCTCTGTGTAGGTTGTCTATCAATCTTTGTGTACTACATGGAGTTTGTCAACTTGAACCGCCGCTCCACTTCTGTGCAAAGTTTTGTGTTGAAATTTATTGACTGACTGGCAATCAGCTCTTTCGTATAAGAAATTTTCATCATGTAGGCAACTGCTGTGCACTACACTGTCTACTTAGATGATATTCTAATCTTTTTCATAATGGTTGAGATTTTATTTTGATAAATCACACAGTGTTGTACAGTTATATTAACTGATTGGATAACAGAACATGTCTATCTCTCTAACTTCTTAACACACACATATAAACTCACAAGTAGAAGGAATAAAATTCACATTTGAATCAGAAAATGAACAAGGAGAATTAGCTGTGATGTTAGATTGTAAGATAAAACGAATAGAAGAAGGTAAACTACTGCACACTAGTGTTTATAGAAAACCAACGCATTCTGCTAATAGATATTTAGACTTTAATTCATCACCTCATCCGTTAACTGTTAAGGCAGGCTTAGTGAAGTGTCTGACAAACCGAGCCATAGCACTAAGTAGCACAAAAAAGGACCTAAATGACGAAATAAAACAGATAGAAGAACCGTTGGTGTTAAATAACTAACTATCCTATAAAATTCATTAAGAAGATCGGTAAAGGCCAAAAGCAAATTAAAAATAATTGTGTAACTAGTAGTGATAAAATAAATAAGAGAGAATATCAGTCATCCACTGTTATACCATATAAGGAGGAGACATCTGAGGCCCTACTTAGGATTCTCAATAAAGCAGGAATTAGGGTGGGATTTAAACCCACAAACTCACTCAGAGACAAACTTTGTAGGTTGAAGAACCCGGTGGACCCAATTGGACAAAATAATACAATTTACAAAATACCCTGCAATGACTGTGCGTTCAACTATATAGGTCAGAACATAAGAATTTAGCTAAGGGAAGAATGGCTGACCCTGAAAAGATAAGCAATTTAGAAAAAAGCTCAGCAATTGCACTTCACGCATCAACAAACAACCACACAATGGCATGGTGGGAGAGGGTTAAAATTCTAAAAAGTAATATAGGTAGGTGGAGAGAGAGGTTGATTACGGAGTCCTTATTCATCGAGTCTACACCCAGCACATGCAACAGAAGTGACTCAATGCAAATACTAGAAATATGGAAGATATTATTACCGCCAGTCAGTCAAATCAGAAGAAGATGATAAATAGTCTTAAAATTCTATTTCCATTCAAGCACATCATAACATTCTAACAATTCACTTATTATGACTATAACAGAAACACTCGTCTTATTTCCCATCTGATTGTGATTGATCAATAACACTCATATTATTATTTCTGAATGTACATTATCTCATATTGAATTTTATTCCAATATCTAATCATCGATTCCACACATGTATATAAATGAAGGAAGACGAAAGTTGTGTGAGTAACTTGATATGATTATGAGTGGGAACAGTTTGTGCTCGAAACGTCATCAGTTAATATAACTGTACAACACTGTGTGACAGTTTATCAAAATAAAATCTTAACCATTATGGAGTTATACTCTACCACATCACAGTGCCCAAGTTTTATACTTATATCTAATCTTTTTATTTTCGTTATTTCCATGGGAATTCATTTGTAATCTGCTGTATGTATTAGATGGTTGGAGGCAATCGGCAGGAAGCCTTGGACCTAGGTTTCGTGGTAGTTGGCACTCATCAGCAAGGCGTATCTGCAACCTTAAAGGAACTGATGTCCCTTCTGAGATTCGAACCGGCGTCACCCAGTGCTGCGGTCAGAGACGTTACCACTGAGCTATTCAGGCTCGCGACTGACCTCCTGTAGGACTGTATTGGATATTTTTGATTGCACACTAGTCAGTAACTAGTGTAATGCGTCTACTCCTGTCTTCGGTGCAGACTGAATTCTACCATCTAACACCAACAATTCACAGTGCACCGTAATGGCGAGCCACCTAGCATGGTGGCCACATTGCAAAACATGACTGATAGAATTCAGTCTGCACCGAAGATAGGACTAGACGCATTACACTAGTTATCGACTAGTGTGCAATCAAAAATACTGTTGTATGTGTTTGTGCTTTCTTTGATTGTGATTCCTTTCACTCTTGCCTTTTAGGTGAGTCTGGCCAACATAATCAGTGAGAAACGCAAATTCAAGCCGAAGACTTACAGATCAAGCTGGATTACACCAAAGCGTTTTGCTACACCTGTGGAGGGAGATGATGTGAACCGCAGTGATGATGATGATGATGCTAGACAAGCGAATACGTTACCCAGTAAGACTGTAAGTTCTGGTTTGTTTCCCTTTTGTATCCGCCGCTCTACATATCACAAAGTTTTTGATGTTGTTGTGTTCTCTGAGCTGGATAGTTAATTTGTAAAGCTTTCATCACCCTACTGGGTGACATCTTCAGCGCATACTTCAATTTGAAGTGAGCTTTTAGATTTCTCCACGAGTTTATTGATCATCTCTCCTGGCGACCTTGGACGTGATTGGTTGTTTTTGTCTGTTTTCACACCTTCTAGGTTACTTGTATTGTCACTCATTGTTTCTTTGGCTTGAACTTTGACCCTTTGTGTGTGAGGTTTCTTTCTTATCGGTTGATAAATTTTGTCTATCTCGATGTGTCTATTGATTGATGATTCACTGGAATGCCAAGCTTCTAAAAATTCTATAGTATTCTTGTTGTTTCCTCTGTCTAATATATGAACGTTGTCCCAGTCGAATTGATGTCCGTGGTTGTCTGTATGTAGTGATATGAGGGAGTGGATGTACCTGCAATAATCTCCAGTGAGTGATGGTGTGGTGTTGTGTTGGCACTGTGACTGGGACCCGGTACTCTTTGTTTGAAATGCTAAAGCTTAAGAATAAGGTTGCTTAGCGTATCCAACATCGTCATCGTGGCGCTGAAATATCTCGCTGTTGATTGGAATGCAGAAATATACTGGTGATACTGCGTGGTGTGACGTTGCATCTGTCAAAGATCTCCTTAGAGGAGTGGATGTACTTTAGGTAGGTAGGTACGAAGGCGTTGTAGTAGTAGTTCACGGTGAAATACTGTGCTATTTCGCGTAATCAAATTTGGCTACATTTGGATATGTTTGTGCAGATTGTGTGACTGTGTTCTGTTTGGGTGGATACTATTTGATATATAAATATGTATATTTAGAGGCAAAAGAGAAAAGAAGTGGTGACGGACTTTTTCTTTTTACCAAGGAAAAACATGTCACAGGCACATTTTAACGATGTCCAATGTCGGCTATTTAGGCGAAGCGGGCATTGGACAGCTGATTACTACTTTACTTTACTTCGGCTATCTCCTACGGGAGGATGAGCCGGCTTCATGAACATCTCGAATCATCATCGCTGCCCAGGCGCGGCGATCTGATGCAAGGTTTTGCGACAGGGTTATCCAATTCTTGTTCCACAGACGGAGTCCGTAGACAGTTTGTAGTCCCAGGCACTCCATATCAGCCTCGACTGTACCAAGCCATGTTTTCAGCTGTCCACCCCATCGCGACATCGCCAAGATGGTAATGGTGAGGGATTTAGAACTGATTTGACCAGATCTTCGTCTGGCCGGTGCAGGACATGGCCAAACCACCGAAGGCGACGTTGTCGGACCAGTACTGGAATTTGGTTGATGTTGTAGCAACGACGACGCACTTCTTCGTTTGTAAGAGAGTTCATGAAGTTTCATGGGAATTTGGTATCAGTGATGTCCCCAAAATCTCTTGGCCTTTTTTTTGAGAGTGCAGCTCTAGCCTTTACGCAACCAAGTGTGACCTACAAGACAGTAGGAGTGGAGTATAAGGAGCCCACTATCCATTGGCAGCCGGTGACCGGAGTTCGGTTCATACGCCTTTTTGAATGGGGACAGACATCCAGGACATCCAACAAGCCCTTTGTCCATAGGTCTGCCGGTGAGCTCCAGTGAGCTTCATACGCCAGTCGTTGGAGGTTTGGAATCAGGGTTTAGCCATCTCCCCTAGACTCTCATGTGATGGACAGCCAACCGGGCGAAGAGCGCCGGGCATCCGCTTTCGCCCTCTCACTTTGGTGAAAAAAACACCTCCGCCACGTGAAGGCAGTGATGAGTAGGACTTCCTCATGAGAGGCTATGTAAGACGCCCGGTGATATGGGAGCATTTGAAGAGGTGTTTGGAGGAGTGGCCAACCCGCAGCGCAAGCCACCCACCCCCGACCATCCTGAGGCTTTGGAGACAGCTGATTGGGACAGACTGACTACTACTAATTGCCGCCTGTCAAATGAAATGGTACTTTTGTGTGTATGCATATCTTTGGATTATGCCAGTAGAAAGTAGCTAGAGGCATATGGTTGGTTGGTTGCTTGCTTGCTTGCGTAGATTAATTTTTCACTATGTGAGTAAGTAACTCTCAGAATGTGAAGAATACTCTGTTTTGACAAGTGTGTTGCATAATGGTGGTCAATTAGAATAGCACTTTTCCTATGAAACTTTTATGTATGGCGTGTCTGTACTTGTCCCTGGGTGGTAGTGTTCTCCCAGTGGTTTTGTGGAAAAACAGGACTACAAGTAGCTGTAGACTAGCTAGGTGCCTAGGTGTATAGGAGGAGCGGGTGGATCGATATTTAGACATATATACATATACATTAAAGTGGTTAAATATATACTGGTAGTTTTGCGGCGATAGCTGTCTGCTCCAGCCGAAATCGGTAGACAGTAATTTAGGTCAATGTTTATGTCCCAAATATTGGTCATGAGAAATAAGAATAAGAGCAAAGACTGACTGACTCAACCAACAACCAATCACAGCACACTTTGTTTGCGTAGGCGGATACTCTTAGCAGATAGATAGATGATCTGACCTTCAAGAAACAGCCACAAAGTGTTGATTTGTTACAGGATTTTCATCATGAGATGACATTAGTTAGAGAACCATTGGAAAACCTGGGTGTACTGGATAGCTGTTTCTCCCGTCCTAGTTTGGGACTCTTCAGCAGTACGCACCCACCACCACCAGGTTCGAACCCAGGACCTTCTGGTTACAAGGCGAGCTCGTATACCATTAAGCCACTGGGACCCGATCCAATGGCCCATGAAATCTAACTTCTGCCAATTCACGACATAGCGCGACCCCAAAGAGATGCTCACTAGCGACTGACCCTATTCAGGCAGGTAGTTACCTGGGTGGGTTCTGGTGGGAAGTCGTGACCAGTAGGGTGCAGCAGGTCGGGTATGAGGACAAATACTCGCCGAAGACATTGGCTGGGCTCGCGCTATGTCGTGAATTGGCAGAAGTTAGAATTCATGGACTGGCCATTGGATCGGGTCCCAGTGGCTTAATGGTATACGAGCTCGCCTTGTAACCAGCAGGTCCTGGGTTCGAATCCAGGTGGGTACGTACTGCTGAAGAGTCCCAAACTAGGACGAAAAATCTGTCCAGTACTCCCATGTGGGTTTTCCAGTGGTTCTCCAACTGATGCCAGCTCATGATGAAAATCCTGTAACCAGTCAAATCGCTACAAACCAACACTTGAAGATAAAAGATTAACTAACGTTCAGTGAGAAACAACAACCACCAATCAGAAGACTGTGTTTGTCTGCTAACAATAATCTATAATAATGTACATTAAAATCGATAAATATGTATTGATTTCCTTCATAAACGATCTGTTGCTTGGCCCTTGTCTTTTGTCGGTAGAATACTATACCTCTACTCTCTCATCTAAACATGACTCACTCTACCTTGTTCTTTTCTCTTCTTTTTTCTATTGGCTATTAGATAAAACATTTTCTTTAGTTACGTAATCTACCTTTTTGTTATGCTCTTCCTAGCTTAACCTTGTTTCTATAAGCAACTCTGTTTTTTGTGTTTTCAAGCCTAATTGTCTAATTATTCTATAAATAGTCAGTGTGTCTGTAACTCTTAATTACTTAAATCATTCCGGACTAATGTTACTCTTTTACACTTCCTACCAACCAATTACTCCTTGTGATCGTGGAAAGTGTATGTTCAAATCTTCACAATCTAATTCATATATATATATATTTTTTATCGTTCAGGTTGTAACCAGTTGAGAAGAATCCTCAAAATAATAATAATAATAATATGCTTTATTCCAAAACAGTACTTGTAATACAGAATGGAATTCTCAGCATTTTTACTACAGTATTGCGCATGCAGTTAGTACATTATCAATAAATAGAATTCTACACAGATTAAGGAAATCTCAGTTCATTATTACAACAACACATTGGCATGTCGGTAGCAAAGGTAAAGCTGAACAGTGTTTGAAGGTGTTAGAAAAGTAGGTGCTATCATATTTACTGGCGTAAGCGAGAGAAAGAAACAAAGCAGCACATAACGGAAAAGGAAAGAGAAAAAAGAGAGAGAGAAAAGAAAAAGAAAGAAACAAAATGTTGTACCTATGAGTGATATGAGTTGGAAAGACGAGGTCCAGTTGTTCTACTGACTATTTAATGAATTATAGGTGTCACGCCTAACGCTATCTTTATCACACAGAACACGAGCTAAGTAGGGTATGGTTGAGTTTTTGTACTTGCTAGTGAGAGCAGCATATAGGTTCCTATATAGGCTTCTGGTTTTGCCTGATGAGATGCAAGGGGAGAGTTGTGAGTGAAGAGGGTGGTGTGAGTTAGATAAAATGGATTTGGCCCATTTCTCACATGAGTCCATGTACCTGCCTGTCAACCAGAATATTAACAAGCTGGTTAAGTGGCACGTTGCTTACCCTGCTGACAACCTTTAACATCCTGCGTATTATGTTATAGTCTTTCTTCAATAGCCCGGGAAACAATAGAGAATAATAGGCAGGATGCGAGAATTAACGAATTGTAGGAGTAAGGGTTGGGTTGGGTTATTCCAGAATGTTTTAACTTCTTGATGTAATAATAAAAGAAATGAGCTCACTTATTATCTTCTGGTACAATTGTTGTTGTTGTTGTTCTTGCTTTGTTCAAGTTGATTTTGATTTCGGTCCTGTTCAAATTAGCCTCTTTTGTCTCACTATACATCATATCATATCATATCATATCATATATTGATAACTTCTACACACCGATATGTTTTTTTCTTATTAAGGTGGTCCGGTCAACTTCTGCACGTAAAGAGTTCAGAAAGCAGTTGCAACATCACAATCATCATCAACGATCATCTTCGCTATTGCGTAACAGTCGTTCCCGGAGTAGTAGTAGTACTGCATCTGTCGAATCAAAAGTGCCTAATAATAATAATAATAATTCGGCTAAAAAGCAGCGTCTATCAGATTTATTCTCCGATGATGATGTTGAAGAAGATCTAACTCAGCCGATGTTCAAGGAAACTCCTGTTACAAAAATAAATAATCCATAACCCTGAAAAATAGTTAATTTTAATTTTTTTTTCTATTTTCGTATTTCTGGCAAGAAAGAGACTTATGACAGCAATTAACTAGATATATTCACTCTGCATTCATTGCTGTTCTTTTTTGACCATGTATATCGCTTTCCTTGTTGTATTGGATTGTTTCCGTACAGTTCTACTTCTGTGCTGTGATAACCCTCGCCCCCCCCACCCCGTGAAGCGGGGAGGCTATGTATAATAAACCTTGTTGTGTGACCTTCTTTTCAATGTCTTTATATAAAAAAATGTTTGTGTTCATCAGGGAGGGATAGAGCAGGGTTTTTTTATTGGCATGGGTTCCGTTTAGAGATATCGTCTACACCAATCGAAGTCCCATTATCCCCATTTCTATTCAACTTTTATCATAGTAGATGTACTAATTAATGGTCTTAACCCTAAGTGACTTCAGAGACTCAGGGATTGACTTGCTACCATGGAAGGGAATAATCTCGTTGACTTAGAATATGCAGATATGATATAGTCCTTCTAGGCGCGGGGACGCTGACAAAATCCAGCAGAGTCTACTGAACACCCTGAGCTTCAATCTTCGTATGTTTGGCATGCGATTCGCTCCCGCTGTCAAATGCAAGATGATGTTACAGGATTGGACTACACCGACCCGTAGATTAGAAATAGGAAGTGAAGTGGTAGAGCACGTTGACCGCTTCACTTACTTGGGAAGTACCATCACAGCCAGTGGCCAACGGGTTGATCTCTGACGGAATCTCAGTACGGATACAGAGGGCTAGTTTCGCATATGCCAGTTTACGCAGTCTCTGGCTTACCAGATGTGATATCCGGCTACCGACAAAAGTGTGTGTGCACTAATTAACGCAACAGTTCGCTCCGTCCTTCTTTATGTCTGACTTTGAGATCTGGCCATTGAGAGTGGAAAACATGAAAAGGCTAGCTAGCTGTCTTCGATCGTAGGTGTCTGCGTTCTATCTCCCGTGTGAAGTGGTATAATAAGGTGAGCAATATTGAGGTTAGGCGTCGGTCGGGTGTTAGATAAGGAAGGAGGTGAAATCAATCGACGAGACTATGAAGTTACAACGACTGAGATGGTTAGGACATATGTTACGTATGCCTTGTCATCGCCTTCCTCGGCAGGCAATATCAGCTGATCGACATAGGGTCAGGCTGCAAAGAGCTAGCCAGTGGTGATCAAACCAAAATATAGCCTCACCAGTCAATGAAATCCACAACAGTTAGTTTAAGCCAGCCACGTAGGAAGGTGTAGACTGGTTTCCTGGTTGTAGTCCTCGGGACGGTAAAAACCAATGAAGGCTGCAGACAATTGGTGATATGGCTCAAATGAAACTATATTGTTCTTCGATATTACTATTCCATTGTCTTACACCTATGTTTATTGTCTCTCTATTATGCATTTCTTCTGATGCTTTATGTGGTACATGGAGGGAGTGTGGCGACTTGAACTGGAATTATGTCTTTTCTGTTTGATCATAGGTATGATACATTGACGTATTTCTTGTTTGTACTTCCTCGCTCATTTAATTTTGATAATTTGAGTGATAGTTCTAAGGAGGCACAGAGATCTCTTACTGAAGCGTCATGACCAGTACTGTTGTAGTTGAGTCCTTTCTGAAGAAGTTTTTCTCCTGCTTTCGATAGTGGTTGTTTTGATAGATTTACTACACAATCATTTAGAGTTTCTTCAGGTGGTTGTTTGGATATCTTAGCTAGTTTAACCTTTGAGGAGAACTCGTCTTCGTTCCTTGTGTTGTTCGCTTAATATTTTAATGGCAGTATTCAATGTTGACAGATGTCCTGGGGTGACTTACTAATCCGTATTGTTGGGACATTCAGTGGGAAGTGTGAACTGCTTCACTTGTCTGTGGGAAGGTATCTTTCGGAGATATTTGAAAGCGTCACTTCTTATATTCCTCATCTAAGCAACATTGTTTTAACTAAAGGCGGAATAGGAAAGTCAGAACATACCTGCATTTATATCTGATATTACTTTTCCGCAATCACAAGGAGTAATTGGTTGGTAGGAAGTGTAAAAGTAACATTACTCCGTAATGATTCAACTAATTAAGTGTTACAAACACTGACTATTTATAGAATAACTAGACAAATAGGCTTGGAAACAAAAAATAGAGTTGCGTATTTATGTGTCTGTATAGAAACAAGGTTTAGCTAGAAAGAGCAAAACAAAATAGTATATTACGTAACTAATGAAAATGTTTTATCTGAAAGCCAATAGAAAAAAGAAGAGAAAAGAACAAGGTAGGGTGAGTCATGTTTAGATGAGAGAGTAGAGTTTTCTAAAAAAGAAAAAAGGGTTACTCATAAAAGTTGTATATTTTTGTTATCAACACGGCAGTGCAAGATTCACCACTGTCTCTTTCTTCGTACATAGATTTGGTTTAATTCGTTTGATAGCAATTGCTTCAGCAAGCTAGGTTTCTTTTGCTTGTTGATTATTTTGAACGACTTCAGGTTATCTACAATATGACCAGTGTTCAATATATGACGCGCAATCTCAGTGTTTAATGCTTGCGGACCTTTCAGTCTCAGGTTCTTCGGTATGTGTTCAAAAGTGCGAACATTAACCCTTGTCTCTGTTCTTCCAATGTATATCCTTTGTCACGTACAACATGTAAATTGGTAGCCAGAGTTGGACGTAACATGAGGAGGGTATTTGTCCACTTTTGATTGTCTCAAACAACTAGTTGTTTGATAAACACATACAAGCTTGGCGGCTGGATATGTTCTTTTCAGGGCAGCGTTCAGTCTGCATCTTATTCTACTAGCAGTATCATCATCACCTTTGAATGCATGCAAGCTGCAGAAAGATAGGCTTTTTCTCTCCTGTGCTGCTTCTCACTTTTTCAACATGATGTCTCCCATACTTGTCAATGAACTTTTGTGGGTAACCGTTGTCGCTTAGGCATTTTCCCTTTCTAAACACATATATACGCAACTCTGTTTTTGTTTTCAAGCCTAATTGTCTAATTATTCTATAAATAGTCAGTGTGTCTGTAACTCTTAATCAGTTAAATCATTCCGGACTAATGCTACTTTTACTTCCTACCAACCAATTACTCCTTTGTGATCATGGAAAAGTATGTTGAAATCTCATATTAGTCTGAAAATCTACTGCAATCAGCATGAAGAACAAGACTCTGATAGTTTCAATATAATTTTGTCAAGGTATATTCTTCAATCTGATTTAGAGAGACGTTTTGCGTCACCGCGAAATCATTTCCAGCACAAAAACAACAGACTTCCATCAACAGCTGCCTTGCCTGCATACTGAAGATAAGATAGCCAGAGACGATTAACACAACAAAAGACTCTAGAAGCAAAAACTGACCAAGAACCTATTGACCAAAAAATTTACCGAAGATGGAGAGGGATCCGAGAGACGCTAAGGATACCATAGAGTGAGATCAGGAATCAGAACACCAACAGGGGAAACGACGAGTTGGGCGTCCGCTCGTTTTATGAGAGATGTGAACCTATGGAGCAATCCTAAAGCCAACCAAAGAACAGAATGAAACGGAGATGTGTCTGCTGAAGCTCTGTTTTCCACTCGGAACAAACATAATCATAATAATAATAATAATATAAATAATCTGTCATTTCCAGACTGTTAGTAGCTGAGAAAATCTGTGAAATAAAAACACGAGCTGTTTTCATCCTGCACATATGTTTGTCCTGCTTGCTTTCCTTAAACTGATAAAAAGGCAAGACCGGTGGGTGCATGGAAGACTAAGCCTAAAATCAATGCTTGCCTACTCTGTTCTAAATGAACAGTGCAAATTCTACCTTTCTTGATGTTATAATATTCACTCATAACCTTTTTAATACTCATGTAGTTCACAGTTGTGTTAAGGCTAGTTAACCGTGGGGTCAAATTCATCCCAACAAGTTACTTTACATAGAAATTCACTTTACCAAGTTCCCCTGTTCAAATAAATTTTTTTTTATTCCTTTACGTTCCCTAGTGGAACATAGGGCTTCAAGCTAGTGGCTTGAAGTTTCTGTAGCAGTGTTTATTTTTACAGGATGGGGTTGCTAGCCTCATACCCAACCTTTCCTCTTCACCAGTATTATTTCTGGCTTAGTGAGGTAAAGGAGTGCGTCGGTGTCCGGGGATCGAACCCCGGACCATGTGCATGGTCGGTGAGCGTCCTAACCGCTTTGCCACCGACGCGTTCAAATAAATACCTCAGCTAAATAGAGTGACCAAGTCAAAATGAAGTAATGTGACCCAATTCAATGAAGAAAAATCAATAAGTACTCATTGGAAGATAAGCTAGTAAGTAGGCGGATTTGCTAATTGACTGTGATCATGACTACACACCACCACCACTTCAAAGGCGCACAGCGTATTTTCGCGATATTTCACCAGACCAGCACGCGATCGATCAATCAATCAATCAACCCATTTAAAAAAATAAACATAATAACATTACATGAAATTCATTTTACACACAAATGATGGTTTCATTGACTTCAAGGTTTCCTATAGTTCTTTCTGCTGTGATGTCCAATTCACCTTGATTTGGAGGAAGCTGAATTTTAAGAAAAAAAGCAGAAAAAACCATTTGTTCCATATCGCGATATTATATTTATGCATCTTCATTGCTCCCGCTTTTATTCTGTACACAATTCGCTGTAGGTCTTAAACGCGCCTAGGTTAAATGCTACTACTACTACTACTGTGGTGAGTGCTACTTATAATCCGATATAATTAGTATATCAGGAACGAAGTAACAACATGTTTGGCACACTGGAAAGAGCATTCAAAGAAGAGAACCATGAGAAGAATGTTGCCATATGATGCAGAATCCAAGAAGCTATCGAATGAGACGATATTCGACCAATTCGTCAAGGATATGGTAAAGATGTGCAAATAGCCGGTTGAGAATATGGTATTCCAAATTTAGCTATGTACCATACGTTTCACCATACCTTTCAGTCTCCCCAGTCTTGTCTTC